TAAGTATTCAATTGGTGGGTACAGCTACCACTAGATTCATTTGTGGGGCCCAACAATGTAGCCGTTCGTGGAGGGTCCCACGCAATCAACAAACAAATCACAGACACTCTCATGTCATTGGTTGGTTACAGCCAGCGAAGCCACTCACAGGATTCAAACCACTCAAGCCTCTTTTTAGATTATTTTTAAAAAAAATGTTTGAAATTCGCCGAAAACAAGTGTGTTTAGTTTGAATTTTTTGGATTAAATTTTTTGAAATTTGAATTTTTTAGTTTTCGTGTGTTTTTGTTTTTAGTGAATATTTTTAAAATTTTAAATATTTTTTTTAATTTTTTAGATACACTTTATTTAAATATATCTAAAAAGTAAAAAAATTATAAATATGATAGAGTATGATAGATGTTAATACCAAAAATACAAAAAAAAAATACAAAAATTCAGTACATTTTTTGTATTTTCTCCCTCTAAAACACTTGGGTACCCCTTGGGGCACACCCCAAGTATCTCACCCTAAGCCTTATAAACCCTTTTAAAACTTCCCACCAAATTAATGTGGGACAAGCCAATTTACAACCTTAAGGAATTTCCACAAAAACTCCATTTCCATGGAGCACACTTTGGCTTCAATTTCCCATTCACTCGGTAATGGTTTTGAGCAACCAAATATACCACGTGAATCACAACGCGGCATAGAACGCGTTACCACTTTGACCCGAGTAAATCGATATTCGGGGCCCACCTAAAAAATAGACCGTACTTAGGAAAAAATTCTGATTTTATCCAGAATTTTATAACCATTTCCAACAACTAGTATACAAATAGCTGTAATAGTGGTGAGAGTTGGTGATGGTGGTGGCAGAGAGTGAAAGTAGTGGGTAGTGATAGTGATATTGGTAAGATTTTAGTTGAAAATTATTTTTTATTTTTTAAAAAATAATTTTAAAAATGTTAGGTGTATTGGGATCACTACTTTGTGCATTATGTCAAAAATTAAGTATGTACTCAATATTTTTCCTTTCAAACAAACATTAATGTGTACTAATTAGGCATTGTTTTGTTTTTTTAAAAAAATATAAAATATTTTCTATCTATTGTATTGAATGTCAAAAAATATATAAAAAATTATTTTTCATTCAAACACAATAAAAGTTAACATTGTCAAAATACAACTTATGAAAACAATTATAGCATTACTGTAAGTGGAAATCATTGGTTTAACTAAATGGGTTCATAAAGTGTGACAATTTTCTTCTTTGTCATGACTTGGAAGAAAGAGGGTAAAGCTAGTTCTTGTGATTTGGTTGTCAATTTCAAACCCAATCAAACAATGCTTGCCGACCACATGTTAGCTTGTCATGACAAATTTGGACTTTGATAATTTGGAATAAATATATTTGTCCTGTTGATATGATTAGCCTAATAATAAGTTGATTTTAATTTTTTGTGGTTGAAAATTGAAAAAGAAATTAAACCAAAAAATATGAATTGTAAGAAGCTGTTTATAAAATGTAACTAGGTTTCCCTACTGAAAACAGACAATAATTAGGCATGTAAAACATTAGTATAATACAAAATGAAATGTTGCAACTTTGAGGAGTGTTTTGAGAAGTTGGTAAAAAGTTAGTTTTTGATTTTTTATCAAGCTTTTTAGCTTTTTGGAAAGTGATTTGGGAAGTTGGTAAAAAGCTGACTTTTGACTTTTTAGTTTAATATTTGTTTATGGTGTCAAATCAAATTAAAATGACCAAAATACTCTTACCCAACATAAGAAATTTATTTTTTAATTTTTTTGTCATAGATCCTAATTTGTAATTTTACACTTGCGTTTTTGACACTTCCCAAACCAATTTGTTACGTTTTTGACACTTACATTTTTAGACATTTTATCTAAAAACGTGACTTTTTATTTTGTTTCCAAAACGACACTAGCTAATCTAAAAAAGAACATATGTAGAAATAGTTCACATTATCTACTTTTTCTCTAGCCCGTGAATTAGTCGTGGCTAAAACCTGAAGATTTGGTAAGCTAATTTTGTTTGGTTAAAGTTGGTTCAACTTCAAGACCCGTTTTGAGAACATTTATTTGTAGATTAGGCCTCGTTTAAGAATAGATCGTTTTTGTAATTTTTTAATTTTTTATAAAAGATACGTAGAAAAATATAGAGAGTGATATGACAACTTATAGTAATATTTTGACTCGTTTGAGAATAGGTCACTTTAGTAATTTTTTGACTTTTTACAAAAAGATATGCAAAAAAATAAAGAGAGTTATATGACAACTTATAGTACTATTCTGATTTTTTGACTAGAAAAATGATATAGATCTCAAATAATCTACTAAATTTTTTACCAAAACTCTCACATGAGTGCGAGACCCACACAAACCCACACATGTGTGAATCTCACACTCATGTGAGAATTTTGATAGAAAATTTGATAAATTATTTGAGATCCTTAACATAATTCTTAACATAATTCTTTTGACTAAAATGTCACAAAGGAGGCCTTAGTTTAAATTTAAAATTTCATGGTTAAACAATTTTTACTTTAAAAAAAATAAAATATTTCAATTTTCAACTTACTTATTTTTTAACTCGAAATAAACCCCAAATTTGGGTGAGCTTTCGAAACAAGTTTTTTTGAGATTTTTTTTTTAAAAAATAAAAATTAATTTGATAAAAATAAACACCAAAAAAATAATTTATAATTTCCCATTTCATACTCTTTATTTTATAAAATAAAATAAAATAAAAATTTGACAATTTGATATGATGCTGATTGTGACTAGTCCACCGACCATACTCGACTCGATTATTGGTAATGCATTGCGGGGCGGGGCGGGGAGGGGAGGGGAGGGGGACCGATTCTAATCATTTGTGCATATTACTGACATAGTCACACATCACAATTGATTTGAGAATTTCACAATACTCTCTCTTACATGATTTCAGAAAAATTATGACTACATTCAATAATTCTCTATTCTTATATCGTGAAATGAAACCCACTTACATGACAACAAAATTGTGAAGACAGCCTATCAGGCAAACTCTTAATGGTCAATTCGAGAAGGAAAGTGTTTAGGTGTGCAAACTATATATCATGTATTAGGTAACCTCTTATAAATGTACCTTCTTATAAATGTACGTAAATTACTTTATAAATTTTTTTATAAATATATGTAAGTTGTGATTTTTTAAATTTTTATAGGTTAACTTACGTATGTTTATTAAAACTTACGCGATTTTGTGAGGTAAGTTACGTGTATTTGTAAAAACTTACGCAAGTGCATATAGGCCCTGTTTGGTAGAGCTGTGGGAAAGTGCTTATAGCTTATGCCTCAATAGCTTATACCTTATAACTTTCAGCTTAAGCTGATTTCCAGCTTATTCTTAAAGCATCTCCTGCCCCACTCAAAGAATAAGCTGATTTCTGACTTCCAAAAAGCTATAAGTTATATGCTATAAGCTAAACTAAACACATCAAAATAGCTTAAATTAAGCTGAAAGCTGAAATAAGCTGTAATTAAGCTCTGCCAAACAGGCACATAATATGTACTAACACACTTAAGAATTGCCCACTCAGGGAAGAGCGAAAGAGAAGAAATGAAAAAATTAAGATACTGCTTGATGCAACTTATCATAAGTTAAAAATTAATAATCCAAAAATAGAAGACAAAAATATTTCTTACTCAACTTTCAAAAATCAACTTTTTCAGTTTATTTAACATTTTTTGTATAATTATTTATAAACTTCTAGAATAAAAAAACTACAAGCAACTCAGATAAACTGAATCAAATAGCCCCCAAGGTTTATTTGAAGCAATTTTTTTTCCCGACTTTAAAAGTAATAACTAAAAGTTGCACTGAACGCATGTGCCTCAATTTGAGGTGTATTATGGGCTTATTTTTATGATTTGAACCGTTCATTTTGTAGGATTTGTTGAATACTTTATGTCTATCAAAAATCATATTAATCGGATATTCATAACTATATAATCGAATTATTTTTATGTTATTTCTCAAAAGAAAAACTTATTGTTTATTTTTGTGGTTATCGATCATATAGTTATTGATATCCGATTAATATGATTTTTGGTAGGCATGAAGTATTCAACAAACCCTACAAAATGAACGATTTGGATTATAAAAATAAAAATACACCTCAAATTGAGGCACAACAATCACTACTATGCCTTTAGCACAACAGTAGGCACAACAGTGCCCCTATTTCCACGCATTCTTTATATTAAAACAAAAAAACTAACAAGTAGTTCCAATAACTATATCAAACAAGGCTAAATGGTGGACAATAACTTTCAAACAAGAACAAATGTATTGAATCTAAAATTTCAATAGTGGACACTCTAATTAGAAGTTCATTGAAAGACATAAAGCAAGAGTAGGGATGGCAACGGGCCAGGGTGAGGCTGGGGATCGCATCCCAGTCCCTGATCCCTGATGGTGAAAATTTTCCCGTCCCCATCCCCGTTCCCGTCCCCATTCCCGACCCCAATCCCTGAAGGGGAACCTATCACCGTTCCCGCCCCCGCTCCCTAACGGGATCGGGTTTCCCTGACCTCGAAAATTTCCCAACATCATCAACATCATCATCAACAGATCTGTCTATCATCATCATCATCAATAGAACATATTCAAACAATAGATCTGGAACTATGGACTGAGAAAACGAGATCGGCGATGGAGAGACTTGAGATCGGCGATGGAGAAAATGAGATCCGAGGTTTTTGTTCATCTGAGTCGATGTTGTCATCTGTAGATTAGAGTTTGGACCAGAGGTGGTGGTGGTGTCAGTGACTGGTGTGCAATAAGCGACTGAAGATGAGAGTTGAGAGAGCAAACGAGGTGTGTGTATGTGTATGAGAGAGAGAGAGAGCGTGTGGGTATGTGGTGGTGGTGTCGCCGTGTCGGTTTGGGCTGGTCAACGGATGCACCCACCCACCGACCCGTCTGACCCGACCGACCCGACCCGACCCGACACCATATGGATGGATGCGTGACACGTGGCGGGCGGATGCGGGTGCATTTTTTGGCTTTTTGCGGGTTCGGGTCGAGTTGCAGTTGACCCGCCTCTGTACCCAATAAACCCGACCCGCCCGTTTTTGTTGTTTTTATTATTATTTTCCCCCTTTTTTTCTGATCTCATCTCACCACACTAACCTAATATTTCATTCCTCTTCTTCGATACACACACACACACATACACTCTCTCTCTCTCTCCCTCTCTCCCAGAACCTTACCCATACCGACGGCGATGACGATCGAGAGACTATCTACACTGAAAAAGCCACGGTGATCGACGATCTGCTTTTGTTTTTGGATCTGTACGCCCTCAGCCAGCCCTTTTTTGAGAGTCTCATATTAAAACCTTAACCCATTGGCATTCTTCGACCTGAAAGAGGATCGACGATCGTGGTGTGGTGGTGAGATATTGTCTTCTCTTCTTCTCTTATTCTCCTGATTCTGTAATCTGTTCGTTATGTAATTTTTTTTTTCCGACTTCGACTTCCTCTAAAGTTCTTCTTTTCTGCAATTTGTTTGTAATCTATTCTATAATTTTTTTTTTGTTCTGTAAATCTGTTCATTCTTATTTTCCTCTTTTTTTTTTTTTTTTTTTTTTTTTTTTCTTGGTTCCAGTTTATTGTAGTTCTAAAGTGAAACCAGTGGAAGAGAGGTTCTACAGTGTGAAGAGAGGTTCTACAGTGTGAAGAAGGTTACAGAGAGGGAAAAAAAGTGTAAGTTTCCTATTTTCTTCTGCTCTCTATATTATGCATTGAATCTGTTTACAATGTTAAAACGCTTACAGAAACGGGAAAAATGATGTAACTGAATCTGTTATTTGATATTTTTTTTTTTAACAATGTCACAATGTTATTTGTTATTTGATATTATGCATTGATGTAACTGAATTTGTTATCTGTTATTATGCATTTAATCTGTTTACAATGTTACAATGTTATTTGATATCATGCATTGATATTTTTTTTTAACTGAATCTGTTTAAAATAATTTTTTAAAAAATGGTGTACTTTTCCATTGTAGGCAAATTTGTAGGCAAGTGACAAATTTGTAGGCAAAGTGGTGTAACAATGTCAAGTGGATAAATTTGATAAACTGAATCTATTTTTGGATATTGAATTTGTAGGCAAATTTGTGAATGAAAAATGGAAAAACTGAAGTCTGACTGATACATTTGAAGCATTAGCTTATAATTATAGTTATTTTTCTTTATGGTTTTAATTATAATTATAGTTTTTGCTTAGCTTGATATTCATTAGTTAGAGGTTCTAAACAGTGTGAAGAAGCTTATAATTAAGTGGTGTTGAGATTGATTAGCTTGATAAGCATTGTTGAATTTGTTTTTTAACGCTAAAATTCTTTAGAGAATTGGTCAGTGGAGAATGAATAAATATGAAGTCTGAATGAATCTGAAGCCTGTGGAGATATTCATATGTGTAAGATAGTCTTAAGTAACTAATTAAGTGACCAGTAATTTATTCATAATTAACTTGTTTTTGAAAGAAAATCTGGTCAGTGGTCACATACTTCTTATTTAACCTAGTTTATCTTATTTCTCAATCTTGTCAATTCACCTAATTCTGCTACCAATCTTGTCAATGCATGCATGATCAATGTAACAGATTCAATTACATTGTATGAGTTACGAAATATAAGTACTAAGTAGGCTTACTGAGTTGCTGAATCTGCTTTAATAACAGATCAATGTACTAAGTAGGCTTACTGAGTTAACATTGTATGAGTTGCTAAGTAGTTGCTAAGTAGTGATGTTTGTCTTCTTATTCATTCTCTCTCTTGTTCTATGTTTGGTTTTTGGCAATTTATTTGATAATCTTTTACTCATGGATCCTCCAAGTGAAGAAACATTTTTTGTTAATCCTAATATTGAGCCTAAATCATCTTCTATTGACCCCTCTACCCAACCTATTGCTCCCCCTCCTAGACCACCCATGGCCAAAAGTAGTAGTGGTGAGAGAACACAATCAAAGGCTTGGGATCATTTTGAAAAGATTAAGGGTATTGATGGGAAAGATATGGCTATGTGCAAGTATTGTAAGAAAGAATATATGGCAGGCTAAGAGTCATGGAACAAGTAATTTATTGACTCATTTGAAAAATTGTACAAAGTACCCATATAGGGATACTCAAGGGCAACAAACATTGGGATTTAAACCAAGACAAGTTGATGGGGAGGGTGGTGTTGATGTTGTGGCTACATCATTTTCTATAAAAGTTGGTAGGAGGTATCTTGCCGAGATGATAGTAATTGATGAATTGCCTTTTAAATGTGGATGGGGTTGGTTTTAAAAGGTTTTGTAATGTCATGCAACCCAAGTTCAAAATTCCATCTCGACATACCGTAGCTAGGGACATTGTAGACATATACACTAATGAAAAAGAGAGGTTGAAGAAACTTGTGAAGGGGCGTAGAATTTGCTTTACCACAGACACATGGACTTCCATACAAAATTTGTGTTACATGTGTCTAACAGCACATTTCATTGATGATGATTGGAAGTTACAAAAGAGGATCATTAATTTTTGTCACCTTGAAGACCACAAAGGAGAAACTCTTGGGAAAAAAATTGAGGCACTCTTAAAAGAGTGGGACATTGATGGGCTTTTTACCTTAACTGTTGACAATGCGAATTCTAATAATCTAACCATTAGATTCTTGAAACGAACTACAAAACTGTGGAAGGGAACTGTTTTGGGTCATGAGTTTTTACATATGCGTTGTTGTGCACATATTCTAAATCTCATTGTTAGTGATGGATTGAAGGATCTTGAGTCTTGTATAGCGAATGTGAGGCATGCAATGAGATATGTGAGGTCTTCTCCAAACCGTCTTCACACTTTTAAAAAGTACATGGAAAGTTTGAAAATTGAGAGTAAGAGTCTCTTGTGCTTAGATGTGCCAACACGGTGGAATTCCACATATCTTATGTTGGAGCCGGCAGAAAAATTTGAAAGTGTGTTTCAAAGAATGGGTGAGGAGGACTACAGTTATAAACACTATTTTTTAGATAATGAAGGGGTGGAAAAGAGAGAGATGCCTACAGCTGAGGATTGGGATAATGGCAGGGTGTTTTTGAAATTTCTTAAAACGTTTTACAATGCAACAAAGAGATTTTCTGGGTCTTTATTTGTTACTTCAAATACATTCTACACGGAAATTTTTGTCATTGAAAACATAATTGGACAATTAATCAAAGACAACGATCCTATTTTGTCTTCAATGGCAAAGAAAATGAAAGAGAAGTTTGACAAGTATTGGGGAAATAGGGATAAAATCAATCTCCTTTTGTATGTTGCGATTGTGCTTGATCCTAGAAGGAAAATGACATACTTGCAATTTTGTTTTTCAACAATTTTTGGTGGGGATGTGGTGAAAGTGAACGAAATGTTAGACAAGGTGAAACATTGTTTGACTCAATTGTATGATCATTATGCCACACTTGATTCAACAAATGTGCATGTCTCCAATGTAAATGAAACAATAGATATGGTGATAGATGAAAATGATCCACATTCTATTGTGAACTCTCAATTTAACTCATTCTTGGAGTGGCAATTTTGTAGTAGCGGGAGTATATCGGAATTGGACAAATATTTGGGTGATATTGAGAAAGATGGGAAAAATGCTCAATTTGATATCTTGACGTGGTAGAAGGTTAATGCAACAAAGTATAGAGTATTATCACTTATAGTAAGAGATGTGTTGGCAATGCCTATCTCCACTGTTACTTCTGAGTCGGCTTTTAGTACAGGAGGTCGTATACTTGATCCATTCCGTAGTTCACTTGCTCCCAAGATGGTGGAGGTTCTTGTTTGTACACAAAATTGGCTTCGAAGTAACATTCCAATATGCCTTCGACAAACAATGGATAATATTGAAGAATTTGAACAACAATATGATTCGGGTAATATATATATACAATGATTTATTTTGTTTTAAATTTTATTTATTTTATATTATTCAAAATTCATTATCTTCACTTTACATATTTTGTTGTATTATGTTTTATATGTAGTCGTTTCGGAATCAAGTTCATGTTTAAGTCCAAGTCTTGAGAGTAGTTATATTGAAGTTTAATATCATTGGTAAAATACTTTCCCTTTGCTATATTATGTTTACTTCACATGTTTTTGTTGTATTATGTTTACTTATTTTAAGTTTAAGACTTTTTAGTGTTTTCCTTTTTAAATAATTTCATTTTTTTTTTTATGCAGGTTTGGCTCATGGCTCATGGTTCATGATTTGGCTCAAAGAAATCAATGGCTTAAGACATTTTAAATTTTTTGGATGATTGTATTAACCATTAAGACATTTCAAATTTTTTGGATAATTGTGTTAACTATTAAGGCATTTCAAATTTTTTGGATGACTGTAATATTTTATTTTGGATGACTTGTAATACTTTATTTTGGATGATTGTATGTTAAAAATTTGTGTTGCGTTGTTGTGTCCATTGTCCAAGTTTGTTTGTTTGAATCTAAATTTGAGCAGGTTGTTTTTGTATATGAGCAGGTTGTTCCATGTTCAGGTTGTTCTAAATTTACTAAATTTGAGCAGGTTGTTCCATTTGAGCAGGTTGTTCTAAATTTGAACAAATAAACACTGTTTGTTTGTGTTTATTTAGCACACGCACTGAGCAGGTTCACCTATGTGCAATGAACACACTATTTGTTTGTCTTTAGCACACACAACACACACAGTCTCTGTCTATTGGCAGATTGATCAACCCTGTGTTTATTATTATGCATGCACACACACCAATTAAGTTTGTTTGTTTTTGTTGTGTATGACTATATGTATTTGTTTTGCCCACTGCTGCAGTGTTTATGTATGTATTGCACATAGGTAGTGGTTGAGGAATTAAGTGCACATTAATTTAGTTAATTTTTTAGAAAGTGTACATGTTAAATTATGTCAAAAATTTGTAAAATTTTAAGCTACCAAACCGATTCGCATCCATCTACCAATCTGCTCAATCCGCATCCGCCGGATTGGCGGACGGATGCGGATAGATTTTCTCAAATCCGCCAATCCGGCGGACGGATGGCGGATTAGAGGTTCCGTGGCCGCAACCGACCTGCGACCACCCCGAGTGTCGGTGACTGTGAGAGTGAAAGAGTTGAGAGAGAGAAGAACGAGAAAGAGTGACAGACAGATATATAATACAACTAAACACATACCAATATAGGCGGAAATGGTTCGGAGAAATTTCAGGGCGAGGCTAGGGGAACCTACCACTGTCTCTCACCCGAAAATCATCGGGGATGTATTTTTCAATACCAGCCCCGACCTTATGGGGAATAATTTTCAGAAAAAAATCCTATTTATCGGGGCGGGACGGTCTAGGTCCCCGTCGGGTCGGGTTCATATTGCCATCCCTAAGCAAGAGATCCTTGAGGTCGAATTTTTAGCTTGTCATATGAATGATGAATACTCCATGTTTATCCTAAAAAATAATCATAAATGACCACTCCATACCCAGAACATCCTAAACCAGCCTCAATGAATTCAATATTTAAGAATTATATTCATCCACAAATCATTCAAAGCAACAATGACACTCCAATCAGCGAGGGTGAATAAAAAAACGATGGCAAAGACGAAAGTGAGAGTTCATGGAGTGGCATTTGAGGCTGTAGTTCCTCCTAAAACAATAAGAATAATTTTAAAGATAAGGAATGAGAACTTTAAAACATGGTTCAGAAAGATAACAACAAAAGCAAAAGCAAAAGCATTGTGGATACCCCACCATAAGTCACAACTCTATGCAATCCACAAATGTACCAATTTATACAACTTATAGTGGACTATCAAAATGAGTACATGCTTGGCTTGAAAGCAAGCATGGTAGATACACCATGATGCCACAACTTGATGAACATCAATTCCTGGACCACTAGAAAGATTCAGGTTTGAATAAAACCACCAAATGTGAGTGCTTGCGTGTGTGCACGCGCGTGTAAGAGAGAGAGAGAGAGAGTGAGAGAGAGGACATAAGAGCTACATAAATCAAAACACAACATTATATTTACAAAAGGGAACACATATTCTTCCATTTTGAATAGGATTGCTTTCCTAGTCAGTCATTTATGTGCAAGTGGTTGAATGCTAAGAAGCGCAGGGGCAGAGACGGGAATTTTGTAAAAAACTAAGATACCAACAAGACAAGACAGATACAGCCAAAAAAAATCCTTTATTTTTTTAATTTCTATTGCTATGTATATAAATATAAATTTAGGAGACAATGATATAAAAGGCATTAATGTATATAGGTGTACTTCTTTCTCAGTTTCCTCTCTTTGTTTTTATATATTTTAGTTTGATATTAATTCATCTTTCTAAATTATATAAAAAAAATAACACAAATATGATTTGAGGCATGTTTAAACACGGGACACGCATATTTGTAAAGTGTCTAGCAAAAAAAACAATAATTCATTCCACGTGACGTGTCCAACACAGATGTATCCCTAGCATGTTGGTGCCCCATACACGTTAGACACAAACACATCTATTTTGAAGTGTCAGTACTTCATAAGTTGATTGAGTTTTCAAGTGTCTCAGACTTTTCCTTGCCTTTCATAATTTGAACATGATTTACACTTGTGCTTCCTTGCCTTTCATAATTTGAACATAATTTACACTTGTGCTTTGTTACGACAGATTTTAAAACCGAGAAATTAAACAAATTAATCATGATTCACCATATAACAAGCAAAGAGCTTTAAAATAAAAGTTTTTTTTAAAAAAAAAAAAACCAGAATCATGGCAAACCAATAATAGCAAAATAGCACATGACACACATCAGAAGATAATATATATTTTTTTTTTGAAAAAAAAAAACAAAGAAAGAATCACTACCCATTTAGCACTAGAGATGGCAACATCATACACTAAGCAATTATGATGTGTACATGGTAGTATTGTATGACATGAAATGGGGAAAATGAAAAATCCTCAATCAACTACCATGTCGAAAGACAACCATTCATCACACTGGAATGGCCATGCACACGTACTGATGCAATTAATCTATCACTTTCGGAAACATTGTGCTGAGGCATCTATCTGGGCAACATTAAAATTTGCAATGTCAAAAAACTAGCTAGGTATGAAGGCAACATAATAACGTAAGATCCCACCACAGCATTAACCATATATTGATAGCATTACAAGTCAAAGTCTCAGATTGTTTCACAGACTAAGCCCAAAAAACAGAAGGCTCAGTTCCAGGTCCCCTCCCCCAATGTGTCGGACCAACTTCCACAATCTCTCTTATAACCAATCAATGTTAGGGAAGGCTTCGCTTATGTCTTTTATAGCATTCGACATCGTGTCTGCATGCTTATTTTTAGAGCAGTCATAAAGAGCAGCACTGTATGCCCAACAATCCTTCCCTCACAATGACACTCTTGCAACTAGAACCTATAACAACTCAACTCTGATACCACTTGTCAGGCCAAGTTCCTCCATTTGTCCCCAAACCAATTGGTGTTAGAGAAGGCTTCGCTTATGTCTTTGATAGCATTCGACATCAGGCCTGTAGGCTTATTTTTAGAGTGGTCTTAAGGAGTGGCATTGCAACCTTTCCTTGGATTTGTAGTGTTATTGTATTTAGGACAATGTTAATTAGAGCACAACCACAAGAAGCCAACTAATATTTGCTAGGAAATACAGTAGTTAAGCAAAGCAAATGCGATTTTGAGGTCAATATATTAAGGCAACTATGTACCAAGCAGCATAATGGTTTGCATCAACCAACATGGTGATTACTAAAGACTGAAGCAACTCAAGGGAATGTCAAACTCATACCAGGATTTTTTTGAAACTACAAACTTGTGTATTAGATTAAAAAGAAATAGAATGTTATGTTATGTTATGTTAAAATATATGCACGTTTACATATATATGTATGTACATGTGTCTTAGATTAGAAAGAAAGAGACTATATTCATGCATATGTATATGCATAAAGATTTACAAAAAGTACTTGAATAGACGTTACACAATAACATCCTAATCATGGAAATCATGCTCACCAACTAGACAGTTTATACAGCTACTGAATTCATGTCTATGTTCCATCTATTTAGCACTTTCTAACAATCGTATCACATTTCCATCAACACTATGAGCCATCAAAACTTCAGAACATAACAGGATTCCATAAAATCGATGTACTAATCAATTAATACTAAAATGAAAACAGTGCCACAATCTAGAAGCAATATTATCCCAATTTCCAGACGAAACATAATTAAAAACACTAAAACAGAATAATATCAGAAAATTACAGAATGCACTCTTCTTAACCATGTTTTACTTGTCTATTTGTGAGTGAGAGGTGTGGTTAGAGATAGTCGGTCATTGACCTCTGGAAAGATGGCGGGAACTTCAATGGCCTGAGATCACTGGAGGTGAAGAGGAGGCGGCCAAGGCAAGCTTGGAGAGGGAGAGGTTGGCAATGATGGACCTTGAACACTAGTGTATAGTGTGAGTATGAGTGTAGTGTAAGACTTGTGTGCTGTGTATACGTGTTACGGAGTTGTGTTGTGGTGAAGTGAGTTTGTCTGCTGCATGTATGACACGTTATATAAGCCCCCAGAGTATTGGAGCCCAAGCAACTTGTTCGACAGGTGGCTCATTCTCCCCAACTTTGCTAGAAGTAATATAAGCCCTACCTGTCATCTGTGGTTTGATGGTAGGTGGGGGAGTAATGTGTCATGGCAGGTAAGAGAGCAACGTATCATGGCAGGCAAGAGAGCAACGTATCATATATGCATTAGGTGGTGTGAGCATGAGGTCGCTGTTGCCTCTTCTCCAAGCTTGGTCAAGATGGAATTGTCTTAGGAAGAAGACAACCATCTTGACGATCCCATGACCTCAGCCGCCAATCCAATACCCTTTGATGATCTCGAGCGGTGATGCCTACATCCTGCTCCCAACGCAGAAAACTAAGTAGGAGAATTGGCTAGGGGCCTAACTCAATGTGTAGGAGGGCCAAGAGCTCGCTTTTATCAAGTCCAATGTGTGCAAGTAGGCCGAGGGCTCGATTATGTCGTTGTTGGACTTGGAGAGAGATATGAAAGACCATGGACCTACGGGGGCCATGGTGCTGCTGATTGCAGGGCTCTTTATATTTGGGCTTGTATATATGCTCCCGCTTAGGCGAAGCATATAGTCTTAGTTTTGCATGGTGCCTTAGCGGTCTGCCATGCAAGTGGGTGTTGGTGACATGGTACCCACCCGTAGGGCTTGCCATGTATCATATATGTGATATGCCTACGTGGTGCCTTATAGATTTGCGTGGGCGGGGCTTTGGTGATGTGGCATTCGTAGGCTTGATCTAGAAAGCACGGATACGAATATGAAATACGGATATGATACGATACGATACGGCGATACAGCAAAACCTAAAAAAGTAGGATACGGGTACGGTTAGGATACGTTTGTAAAAAATAATAAATAAATAAATTATTAGCAGTGACTTATACATAAGCTCAAGAATGTTGAGAAACCACAATAACTTTATAATGCAAAATACTAATCTTTAAGAATTAGGTATTACTTTAAGCTAGTAGCTAGTTTAGTTTTTAAATTTTCAATGGGCCTTGCAAATATTTCATTTCAATATCAAGTCTAATATGTTGATATTATAATATCAAAACTATCCACAACTTGACCCTATACTTTTTCCTTTTGCACTAGTCAAAAATATTCTAATGCAAGTTTATTTGCTTATTTATTTATTGATATTTAATTTTACTATTGTTATATTATCTTATTAATCCTTAATTTTATGTGGTTGTAGGGGACATGCATGATACAATGAAAATATGTCAATTTGATGAATTCTATTACTTTAGCTTACTATGTTATTTTTATAAAAAAAAAAACTAAGCAAAGTGTTGTAAAAATATTGTATTTATCCTCGCAATTATATTATATTATGATGTTATGCAAGAAATGATATAATTCTAATTTCGTAAAAGAAGTAATACGTGACTTGGAGCATTTGATACTTCAAAATTAATTAAGAAGTATCCGATAATATGTGACTTGGAGCATCCGATACTTCAAAATTAATGAAAAATTAATTAAGAAGTATCCGATACTTTTAATAAGTATCTGATACGTATCCGTAAGTATCCGAGAAGTATCGGTATCCGATACGGATACGTCTTCCTATTTGAAGTATCCGTGCTTCATAGGGCTTGATACAAGTACCTACAATATTATATGTTCAAATATTGTCAAAGCCACAATTAAGAATAGTTAAAAAGACAAATACTACCCTCCATCCCAAATTGTTTGTCCGCCACGAAAAGCAGTAACTTCAAAATCATGTATTTTTTTGTTTAAAAAATCAAATCTTATCACAAATTAAAAGTACTTAATGAGATCTTTTCATTGCAGGAAAAATTTAGAAAATTTCGAAACAAAAATATATTATTATTATTAAGTTCTTGTTTTCCATACCGGACAAACAATTTGGGCTTTAGGGAACATTTTCCTTTCACGCAGGTAGAGCCATCCCACGATGCCTTCCTCACTTCCCCATCCCAACCCTCCACCATCACCTCTCTTCTACTTCATTTAATTTAATTAAATAATGGCCGGCTACACCTCTGCTAGACAGCTAAAGTCTTCATAATTGTTTCGCAACTCAAGGAGGACCTAATTGTCCTCCAGCTTATCTCATTTTATACATCTAGAAATCTATGAAACCTTAGCTTCACAATCTGAACCATTTTGCAATCTTTTTACAAGGAAAGCAAGGTACAAGATAAGCAAGACAACCTTTCGTGCTTTCCCATCCTCTAGGGAGGGAAAAACAAAAACTAAAAACCCATGCAGCTGGAAATACTGTGAGGATTCACTGCCACTTCACCAGGATTTATGCCCTCAAAAAAATTAAATTAAATGTCTGACCACACCTAATTTATGGATGGTTTGGGATGTCCTAAAAAAGTGCACTTTTTGACTTATTGGTGGGTTTGGGTTGGGTTTGGGTTGGGTTTGATGTGATGTGTTAGAGAGGTGATGTGATTTAAATAAGATGATGTGACTTAAATAAGATAGTGACTTTTTGACTTTTTGGCTTATTTAGTATATGCCAAACTAGCCCTTACTAAATACTTCAGTTTCACCACTGTTTCAAATTCCACCAAACTCCTAAATTTAATTCATGATTCCAAGAGAAAAGAAAGAAAAAACAAAATAAAGATCGGATCAATCCCAAAGATTGGCATGAATTAGATCCAATAAAAAAATAGCAACAATTAAATAGATTAATAATTGAACTTTATAAAAAAATCATGAAAACCATGAAAATCAATGAGTACAAACACGTGATTATTAAGCAAGGATCTATATCCCCTTTTCTCCACACAAAGTTTCAAGAAAAATTAAATAAACGAGAAGAATTATTCATATAAACCACAGGAATAATGTTTATGGAAAGTTATAAATATATAAATCTCAAGAATAACATATGCACAATAACTTATGGATGTCTAGCCAAACCACCTTCTATATCTACCAACCATATTCATTTCAGGTCTTATTTAGCATTCTAACAGTATATTTTTCTTACATGAATAGAATCATGACCAACATTTAGGGAAGCAAATCACAATGCACCTTGAGCCATATGACGGTTTCTAACAAAACTCCCCTAAGGTAGACTTCCCCTCTCGTTTTTGAAATCACACTACTCTCCTCTACTTTAGCTAACAATAAACACAAACCTCCCCTCCGTTATCTTGCCGTTTAACAGTTAACATAAAATCATGATATCAACATTTTTTAATATTTAACTACCAAAACTACCCTTGAAAAAATAACCAAACACTCCATATTCTATCTATTATCATTATAACCAAACACCACTCTACATCCATATCTTCACAACCAAACATCCCCTACACTTCCTCCTCTCTTTCCCCTGTTTATTTTCTCCACCAACCCACCATCACTTGTAATCACCCATGCCACCACCACCAAACAACCCCCTCCATCGCCACACCCATCACGTACCACTCACCACCACCTCCAATGGAACCACACCATACATACGTATTTTAAATATATATATATATATTAACATGACCCACTACTAGGTATAAATGAAATCTCTGTATCTATTTATATATAAACATTCATCAACCGGTTTAATCATCATGACCACACCATTCATGGAGCTTCCTAAGAAAGTCAACCAAACAACAACAACCTAGCAAAAGTAAATTACAAGTTCTCCACCATGGCCAACATATACATTAGTTGGTCTAGACAATTAAAATCCCTGGTTCATCACTAATTCACCTATTAGAAACCCACTTGCAGCAAAACTATTTGATTTCATAGATGATGGAGTACTTAATAACTCCACCGCCACCCATTTTTCCATAGCCAGCAACTGCAATGCTATCTGGCCACCACTGCCTCAATCTGAAACCCCAGCAACCACAATCATGACCACCATTCAACAACAATCCATCATTGCAACCTAAGAGGAGGTTTCTTCTATTTTTTCGTTGGTGGCTTGGTTTAGTGACGATGGTAGTAAACCCTCCATTTTGTGATGGATTGTGGCTGTGAGAAGTGATGCAGCCACACCACACAACTATCTGGTGAAGCTCTCCGGCAGAGGCGGCAAGCTCATGCTAGCGGTGGCAACACTGGAGAGCATAGCCAAAAGAGGGTAAGGGGGTTGGATTAGGGTTTGACGGAAAAGAAATTGAGTTAGCAATTGTAGAGAACAAGTTTGTTTGGTTACAAAGTTTTAAAAAAATGTAGTTATGATTGGAAAAAAAAATGTAGTTATGATTGGAATTGTTTGATAACAGAGATAAGCAAATATCTATATAATGGTAAAAATGTAAAAATTCGTTTTCTGTCGATGGCTATTACCTAACTCTGAAAAAAGAGGGAAATGTCATTTCAAAAACTAGAGGGGAGGTCCGCGTATTTGTTAGAAGCTCAAGGGAAGTCCATGTAATTAGTTACTTTAAATATATATAGAAATGTATTTGTTAAAATTTACCATCACCTACCACACACTTACCATCACCTACCACACACTCACCTACTACACTCACCTACCACCACCATCCACTACACCTACATCTATATAAGAAACCATTTGTAATAGACAATATATCAACAATACATCAATCAATAATACATCAGTTTTTTTGCATGGTATCAGAGCAATAAGATTTAGGCCTATATTCCTTTTTTTCCGGCGGGCAGTCGACTGGCACCCATGCCTTTGCTGCCCGCTGGAATTTTCAACACCTCCTTTCTTTCCACCATTCACCTGAACAGGCACATTTCCACCACCGCCGCCGCCAGGGCCGCCCTTCTTACCGCCATTTCCTCCATTACCACCAGCACCAGCACCGCCACCAGGCTTGGCCTGAGCATTCATAAGCTGCTGCCCATTCATCACCACATTGGGAATCATCTGACCATCACCCATAACCGGTTTCAACTTGCTCATAATCTGATCAGCCATTTCATCATCCAATTCATCGTCATCATAGTCATCATCATCATCATATTCATCAAATTCATCATCGCTCAGATCATTGTCCTCGGGCAAGGTGAACCTCACCGCCTTCTGGTTCGGGTCCTTGTTCAAGGGCACGGGCCCACTGAGTCCCTTGAATTGGGGCATCTTCATATCTTGAAGCGCTTTCATCTGCTGCAGCTGTTGCTGTTGCTGGTTTGGGGCTCCTTGTGGACCACCGCCTTTGGGCTGGTTATTACCATTGGCACCCTTCTGAACCTTGTTGTTTCTTGAGCTTTCTTTGCTCAGTGCCTAAATTTCTATCTCACATCCATGTGAGAAGCTATAAATATTTTTGAGTTAATTACATTTTACCTCCCCCTGGTTTACCTCGAAAACACTTTACCCCCTTGTAGTTTAGAAATATACTCATAACTCCCTTGTAATTTGGAGCGAAATGCAAAGTTTAACTTTGTTAATAATTTTTACAAGATGTCTATATTACTTTTAGTGTTTTCTCTCTCTCTCTCTCTCTCTCTCTGCGATTTCTCTTTTTCTTTACTTCTTTTACTTCTTCACTTTCTCTTTCACACTTCCCCTACCTCACGGACACCACGAGCCACCTTCAAATCCGACAGCCACAACCTCTCATTTCCCTTCCCTTTTCTTTTTCTTCTTCTTCCTCTTCCCATGGCAGTAGCCAGCAACTAATCCAATTTATATGGTGGCTAATGCAACTGCTCTGGTTCTGGAAATGCAGACTTTATAGGATTGAAATTAGTAACATAAACTTGTACAACGTATGGAGGTCTTGAAAATGTGAGTGCTCCAATATATGTATGGTGGCCAATATTGTATGTATAGTTGATATATAATAATTTAATTAAACACTTGTCATATTAGAAAATATTACAGGAAACTTGTTTCTTACCCACCAAAGTTTGTACATTCTAATTGTCAACTCAACTCTATAGGAACACCCACAGCAGCACCATCTCCCATGGTGCACCCAACAAAAACTCAAACCCAATAGCTTTCTCTCTCTCTACATTGCCACACCTCCAACCATCAACCATGACTTCCTTTAACAGAGATCCAAACTGCCTCTCCCTCTCATTTTCATCCAATAGTAATCTACCAATAAATACATGTTTTCTATGTTATTTTCAGTTTGGGGTTGTTGTGAGAGAGAGAGAGAGAGAGTGATGTTGGTGGCCGCTACTCATGCATTTGCCCATCAATTATCTCGTTGGTGGTGTTAGATTGGACTCTGCACAGTAAGATGAGCATGAATTGTAAAAGAAGATTGTATTGAATACAAATACGGGCCCACCAAACAACTGTAATTTTCCTCCCAAATTTTATCCTAAAGAAGTCATCAAGCATCTTAGTCAAGAATGTGCAACATGTGCTCTTATGTATAATAGATTCTGTTAGTTTTGCATTTTACCCCATACTACAAGGATATTATGTTATCGTTTGGGGACTATATTTTATTCAAAAAATCACTAAAATTTATTGCATCACTCTCTCTACTTTTCTGTACATCTTTTCGTAAAAAGCCAAAAAGTTACTAAAATAACCTGTTCCCAAATGAGGCATATGTATACATTTCTAAACTAGATGGGGTAAGCATTTTTGGACTAAACTATAAGAAGATAAAATGTAATTAACCCATATTTTTTTATTAACAAATGTGATCTAATCCAAAAATAATAAAAAATGTGAGGACCCAAGTATCTAAACTAGGTACAAGTGTCGGAAACATATCCCACACCCTTATCATTATCATACCTAGTGACTATAGGTACTTGGGGGAAATAGAAGAGTTCATGTAACACAACATAAGGGTGAATCAGTAGAAGAGTCAAATATTCTCTGATAATTAACTGCCTACTGTATTCATCGAATTGCACTAACCCAAGCTTAAGTTTTGCATTCAATAAATGACTAGATATAAGTGATAACCCTAGTGTTCAACATAGAAATTGATCTAGGTGATGCAACACCACAGAGCCAAAGATGGATCTAGGGGGGTGCGGTTGGAGGCAATCGCACTCCCAAAAATTTGAAAAATATCATATATTATACTAGAAAATTTAAAATAATTTAAAATTATAGGGGTTTGCACCCTCAAAGATACTTTTGCACCCCCATAGTGATAATCCTAGATCCATCCCTGACCACAGTTATGCAAAGAAACGGCTTTTGTAGTCATGTTATGGTTGTGAAATCCTCTAGCACCACTAAAGCGGGCTTGTGTTGGGATCTGGCATGACTAAAACCACTAGTAATGTTTTTTATGTACTGCTTCAACCATGCCCTGTCAATTTTGAGGAGAAAAATTAGAGGAATGAGTGATATCTCATCCCCTTTTATATTAAATCATCAGCATAATTGCAAGAGTGCCCCAAGGCATCAAATAAGAATACTAAATATACATCAAAATAAAATAAGGAATATTCTAACACTCCCCCTCAAGCTGATGCAACGATATCTCTCATGCCTAACTTGTTAAGAATGTCACGGAATGGGTTATTCCCTAATCCTTTGGTGAGAACATCAGTTATTTGGTCCCCAGACCTCACGAATGGCGTACATATAGTGCCACTAGTGAGCTTTTCCTTAATAAAATGCCTATCATTCTCCACATGCTTGGTCTTGTCATGCTGAACTGGATTGTGAGCTATATTAATGGCTACCGTATTGTCACAATATAGCCACATAGAATCTGTTTGATGAATCCCCAAATCCCTCAAAAGTAGTCTAATCTATAATAGCTCACATACACCTTGAGCCATAACTCTGAATTTAGCATCTGCACTGGACCGCGCAACTACATTTTGTTTCTTGCTTTTCCAAGTAACTAGATTTCTTCCAACAAAGGTACAATAGCCAGAGATTGACCTTCTATCAATGACTAATCCAGCCCAATCAGCATCTGTATATGCCTCCACACTAAGATAACCATGTTTAGAGAAATAGAGACCATTTCCCGGAGAAGACTTCAAGTACCTCATAATCATAACTGCCTCTAAATGAATTGCACGTAGAGCATGCATAAACTGACTAACCATATTTGCTGCAATAGCAATGCCAGGACGCGAATGGGATAAGTAGATAAGCTTACCCACTAGATGCTGATATCTCCCCCTGTCTACAAGCTCACCTCCTTGATCCTCACTAAGCTTCATTCCAACCTCTAGTGGTGTATCACAGGCTTTACTTTTAAGCATTCCAGTTTCTTGTAGCAAATCAAGCACATACTTTCGTTGACATATGAAGATGCCATCTTTGGACCGAGCAACTTCAATACCGAGAAAGTACTTCAAGCTGCCTAAGTCTTTGATTTCAAACTCATTGGCCAAATACTCCTTTAACCGAGAAACCTCCTCAACATCATCCCCTGTGAGTAAAATATCATCCACAAACAATAAGAGCTGTCATCTTACCATGTAAGGAATGTTTTACAAACAAAGTATGATCAGTTTGACTCTGTTTGAAACCATATCACAGCATGGCCTAAGTAAACCTATCAAACCAAGCCCTAGACGACTGTTTGAGTCCATAAAGTGACTTGCGTAGCCGGCACACTTTTCCTTTGGTTTTAACATCCTCAAAGCCTGGGGAAATGTCCATGTATACTTCCTCTTCTAAATCTCCATGAAGGAAGGCATTCTTTACATCAAATTGATGGAGCGGCCAGTCGAGATTAGAGGCAAGGGAGAGGACTCTGACAGAGTTCATCTTAGCAACAGGAGCAAATGTCTCCTAGTAGTCTACTCCATAAGTCTGTGTAAAGCCCTTGGCCACCAGTCTTGCCTTGTAACGTTCAATTGAACCATTGGCTTTGTGCTTCACTGTGTACACCCACTTACATCCAACATGTCGTTTGCCCTTAGGTAGCTTAGCCAATTCCCAAGTGCCATTTTTGGCCAGGGCTCTCATCTCCTCCATCATGGCATGCTTCCATTCAGGATTAGAAAGAGCATTCTGAAAGTTAGAAGGAAGACTCAAAGAAGAAACTTTAGACAGAAAAGCTTTATAGGAAGAAGACAAATTAGTGTATGAGACAAAATGAGAAATAGGAGGGTGAGTACAAGACCTAACCCCCTCCCTTTTAGCAATGGGAATATCTAGATTAGAAAGAATAGAGTTACCTGGAGTTTCATCAGAAAAAGACGATTCTGGACACTCATCAGGAGAAGAAGATAGCAATGGAGAATCCAAATTGGTCTCCTGTACCCAAGTAACTTGTTTTCTATTCTTGTCCCTGACATAAACTTTTTCGTCTTTCACTGTGGATTCAGGCTCAACATCTTTCACTGCGGATTCAGACTCAACATTATCAATAGCTGGGTCACCATTAACATTCTCAACCTGCTCAATCACTGATGGTAGTGACACAGGAATTGCTTCACGCCAAGGCTCTCCCTAAAAGGATGACTGGGACACCGAGAAGGACAGGAAGTAGGACTGAGACTCAAAGAAAGACATATCCATAAAGACAAATCATTTCTAAAACGGGGGAATAATAACACTTGTAGCCTTTTTGTGTGGCAGAGTAACCCAGGAAGACAACATCGAAGAGACCTAGGATCCAACTTATCACGGGTAGGAGAGTGGTTATGAACAAAGCGCACACCCTCAAAGGTTTTGGGAGGAATGGAGAAACCAGACGAGTGGGACCCTAACAAAACCTGAAGAGGAGTATGTTTGTGGAGGACTTGGGTGGGCAAACGATTAATGAGGAAGGCTGCAGTGAGAACTTCCCCCCAATATGATCTAGGAACACGCATTTCAAAAGACAGATAGCGCGCAATATCAAGAAGATGGCGATTTTTACGCTCTGCAACACCATTCTGTTGAGGAGTATTGATACAAGAAGTTTGGTGAATAATACCATGAGTGGCAAAATAGCTGGCAAGGCTAGAGTCAATGTTTCCCTCCCATTATCAGAACGTAGAATTTTGACAACCGCTCCAAACTTAGTGCAAATCATTTTATGAAAATTTTGAAACACAGAAAAAGCTTCACATTTGTCCTTCATAAGATACACCCAGGTGGTCCTAGAACAATCATCAATAAAGGTGACAAACCATCGGTGACCCTTTAAAGACACAAAACGAAAGGGACCTCATACATCAGAATGAATCAATGAAAAAGGAACTAAACTTTTATTAATAGAAGGAGCAAAAGAAGCTCTGTGTTGTTTTTTAAGTTGACACGACTCACAGTGAAACTCAGAAACATTATTTTTCAAAAAAACAGAAGGAAAAAGATGATTAAGTAACAAAAAATATGGATGCCCAAGACGACGGTGCCACAGCCATAAGTCTTGCTTGGTAGATGGTAACTGAGTGGATGAATGAGCCTGCTTGTCGGCTTGATCTAGGATAAAGAGATCATTCGCATTTCTACCACGGCCAATCATCTTCCTTGTGATAAGATCCTAAAATAGACAATGATCAGGAAAAAAGATTACACTACAATTCAAGTCCCGAGTAATACGACTCAAAGATAAAAGATTAACATTAAAATCGGGAACATATAGTACAGAAGACAAAGGAGGGAAAGCAGTGGCATGAATTACACATTTTCCGGAAACAGAAGAAATGGTACCATCAGCAATTTGAACTTTATCCTGCCCTAAAGAAGGGGTATATGCAGAGAACAAATCAGAAGACCTAGA